GGAATGAAAGCCTGCTATGAGCATTGATAAAATGAACGGGTTCTGTTTAAAGGTTGAGCTCTGTGCAATTTGGCAACCTTCAGATGTTCCCACTCACCAAGAAATTGCATGATTACAACACTGCTGCAATGTGCGATGGCACACATTCGAGGAGAAGTAGTCAATTTATTTCTCTTCAGCAAAGAATTATTTGACTGGATTAGGTACCCAAACAGCTCAGTCTCCATTGCTGGAAAGACATAAGATTAAAGGAGCAAAAGGAACTAATTGAACTGAAACAAACTGTGGTTTAAACCTAAACTTTGCTGATCTTCCTTTGGAAATTTTTGGGTTATCTGTTGCCAAGGACTTCCCAATTCTGGACAACAAAGATAATCAGACATTGCTCCCATTTTCAACCACAAATCTCCTCAAGCTTGACTGCGATAAAAGCTAAAAACAGACAGGGACAGAGAACTGCTGAGAAAGAGTTTTGTGTGTCTTTTCCCCATTCCTGCCAGGATATGCCTTTTGTGTTCATTGACACAGACCCCGGTTTCACAATAAGTGAGCCTAAATACATTTAGAAACTGTAGCATTAACCTGAATTGGGCAAACCACCACCGGCCAAAGTGGATTTTCTAAATGTAAAAAATGTTCCACAGCTCAAAAAAGGTCGAAATTCACCGCCCTACAGAGTCAGTAGGCCCCTATTGTTAAAATCCATGTCCCAGCAACATGGTACAGAGCCCTTCACCAATACATGTTGCTCTAGTGTAATCACATGACGGGGCCCTCAAAGACTTTGGTATTATATCCTTTGTGAAGCTAAAACAAAGCCATTTATCCTTAGTCTTAACTTTGGGCTTCCGGCTGTAGTAGAGGCAGTTAAATAGAAGAATGTGCATATCTACAGCTCCCGCTGTTCATAACTGATGGGTTTCCAAAGTCAGCAGTCTACTGGGGACACATGCCATGTTCAGAAATACTTTCAGAAGTGAAACTTTAACAAATATTTGAATACATCATGTGCATCTCTGAAGAGTTTAGGGGAAAAAAGGCTTCTCCACACCCATGGCTGAGATGCATAATCCTTAACATAAATTAATGTTCTCTTGATTTTCTTGTATTTCTAATTTCCTCAGTATTAACTGGCCATTAAAAGAAAAATACAATTTTATCCATGCAGAATCACTAGAAGGCCAGCAGCTATGAGCAGCAGTCTGTAAAGAGAGGCAGGGAACACTATGGTCAGCTTGTCAGGTTAATGCGGGATCCATATAGAGACACAAACAACAACCAGGATTCACAGACAGTGGCGGCTGGTGAAAAATATTTTTGGTGGGGCTGATA